GTTGTGAAGTGACTCCACATTTGATATCATCTTATCAGCTAATTTTTCCTGGCAATTAAGATATCTCAGTAGGCAATTTGAGTTTCAAATGAATGTGAAAGCCTCAGTTCATTCAGCTTGAAATTTATGGTGGATTTCATCTACCATTTTTCTTTGCTTCTTCTTTGTAGCCATATTCTGACAAGTAGGAATAAATACAGCCGGAAATAGAGTAATGATTGAGGATCAGCCAGCAGCAGTTAGACTAGATAATAATGGTATTCTGGGACACAAGGAAACATGGAAATGCGCATTTACACCAATGAATTTATTCCATCCCTTTAAGTGGTTTTTAAATAAAATGGGGAACCTTTTGCATTAACCACTGCACAACAAGCCTTCTAACTGACTGGCTCGCAAAAGTAAGAACACTCACACCACTCATGAATGAATTGTGCACCCATCGCGGGATGAGGGGGACCTCGGTCATAAAATGGGTGCTAGACATCAATAAAAATCTTACTGGAATCAGTGTAATGCAATTTTAATTTGATATACAGTCAAAAGTCGTTAATCCGGACTCGTCGGAACTTCGGCGATTCCGGATTATAGATCATCAGTTTAAATCTCGTAAGATGGCATGCAGAAATTCTAAAATTAAAAATATGAAACTGTAATTTATGAAATAAAGAACAATTATGATCTAAAGGGTATCAAAATTTACAAAAAAAAAAAAAAAAAAAAAAAAAAAAAAGCTTAATATTTATTTTTGCTTACTTTATTCAACATTTCTTTTTAATGTAAGTTGTTTAAGTTGCTTCATTTTATGTGATAATACTTTCTCTTTAATTCTCTATAAACAGACATAATTTCTTGTTCAGTTACAAAGTCCCGCTGTTCAAGTCCCATTAATTGCTGTGCCGAGAATACCGACTAACTTGTCAATCGAAATTTTTTTCGTTTTCACTAACCTCTCTGTCACATTCTTCATGTCTTTATCCATTTTTTTGCAGCAATTCCACTTTTTGTTTGTTGGAAATCGAAACATACTTTCGTTTGTAGATCCTTTGGAAGTTCCAGCATCGGAAATTCTATTTAACATAATCGAAAGTTTCAAGTTTACTTTTTATAAAATTGCTCTTACAGTCTGCAAAAATAATAAGCGGGATCCAATTCGAAGATTAAGTAACAACGCAATCATTAACATTAACTGAAATAGATAATTAGATAATTTTAGCTTACACCGTCCGTTATACATTAAACGCGCAGGCGAAAACGTATTCTGCACTTGCGCACACGCATATGCCCAGTAGTCAAGGTCTTACGCGCACGCGTAAAACGCCTGTGCGCATGTGCCAACGCAGCACATGCGCAGAAAGTTTTTAGCTTTGAGGTCCGGATTATAGATCATTCCGGATTATGGGTGTCCGAATGAATGACTTTTGACTGTAGTACTAAACAGCGGAAAAATGAAATTTAGTGTCAAAATGTCTGGATTCTTAGTTTTTAGAGATTTCCAGTTTGAAGTTTTTTCATATTATATGTAACCCAAACATCGTCTATGTATTTTATGTTGCCTAAATTCAGTTGCTAGGAAAATTTTTGTTTCGGACTCTGGAAAATCTTCAAATTTGAAAGGTCTAGAAGCTAAAAATCTTGATATTTTGAAACTAAATTTCATTTTGACTTTATTTAGTTTCTCATTCAAATTAAAATTACCATTGAATGTTATATTAATTCAAAACATTTCATTAGTTAAAATTTGGCATATGAAAATTACTACCACAGTACAATTTGATGTATAGTCAGTAAAATCAAAATGCTGAAATCGGTGCAAAAAACATTTCTTTGGAATAACTTTGGTGGATATGTTTTTGGTTTTTTTTTTTTCATACTTGTGTAGAATTTGATGGCCTTTGTGTTGTATTTTCAAGATTTTCTTGCTATTACATGTGCAAACCCACGTGTGCTATTTTGTAGAAGAGCCACGGTTAGCCGACTACTGTACTATAGTAATGAAAAATTTACTGAGTATTCTTGCATTCACTTCATGTTAAACTGAATGTCTTATGTTATAAACTTCGTGTATTATAAATGGTTATAAAGAACTTAAAAACCTTGACTGAGAAGAATTTGGGTGACATTTATGCATTTTTACTCTAATGCTACTCATTTAGTGTGCAGATGTTTCTGGTGTGGTTTATTTTGAGTTTAGAAAGAAAAATAAAAATTTGAGAAATTTCTGTATTCATAGGATAGAAAATAATCAAAGAAATATAACTAGTTCATGAAAGTAGCAGTTAAATTGCAGTTCAATAATGATTAAGCTGCCCTAAAATTGCAACAGTTAGATCATAAAACAGTTACTACAATATAAGACCAAGGCAACAGCAGATGCTATCACTTTATTTTACTATGATAAGGCTACTAGTCTCTGTATTGAAATTGTTATCAACATTTATGTAATAAATTCTGTTCATTCAAAAAAGTCTCAAAATCAAATTGATTATTTTGCATGCTTGGAGACATGTATTTTGGAAGTAGGAGTGATGAAAAGTTAGCAAAGCCCTTTGCCAGGAATCAAACCACGGACCTCTCAAATACGCACCCAGTGTGCAGACCACCACACAACGAAGGCGGAAGAAGTACCTTATATAGTTTCTGATCTTCTTTTTATATGGTTGCATGCTGTAAGGTTTCATTTAAGACTGAAAGAAGGAATTCATGCGTATGGCTAGTTTGTTTTTCTATGTAAAAATAAAAGATTTCACCAAATTTACGTAGTTTAGCTATTTTTACGTTCAAATCAGAATTTGTAATTCATATTTTGATCAACTTAAAATAGTCAAGGACTGTCTTCCCCCCCCCCAGAAAAAAATTTAAATTAACTTTTGCTGTTTTTGCTTTATTTGCTCGTTGTACAATTTTTTAGTTATTATCCCCTACAAAGTACACCACAATACACCATTGCCATCATTTCTCCCACTTTTGCAACAACTGCTGAAAAATCAATCTTTTTTTATAACATGCTGTATTCTTTCTGTAATTGTCTCTGTGGACTGGAAATAACATTCTATCAAAGTGGTTTAAGTTCATGAAAGAGAAAAGGTCTTCCTGGACATCTGTAGTATAGAGTTAGTAGGGCACAATGGAAGTGCAATGTGTAGTCAGTAACTGGTACAAAGGAGCTGGAGTACTGTCATGATGCAGCATCCATGACTGATTCCCCCACAATTCAGGTCTCTTCCTAAGCACAGCATTCCTCAGTCATGTTAGAATTCTCTGATAGACCTATCTTACGCTGTTTAATTATATATATATGTATATATAATTCATTCACATATTCACTGTGCACAATACCGTTCCAATAAAAAAACAGAACTATTATTACCTTGACCTTGAAGTTTGAGTGATCCATGTTTACTCTGGTCAAGCAAATTTTTCCTCTCCCATTGCAAAGAATAATGCTTTATTTTCACATTGTCTCCATACAAGGGCCATTCGTAGGCCACTGGCTGCTCACGTACTTTCCTAGCATTGCCACCCCTAGGCCATTGGCTGCCCGCGTACTTTCCTAGGATAGCCGCCTCTCCCCCCCCAATTTTTTTTTTTTTTTAAATTTTAATGATTAATACAATTTTTATTTCATATTCACTAAGTACTTACATATCATAAATTGTATAAAAAGTACTTACATATGACAAGTATTTACAATGAATTTAATATATTTAGTTGTGGTATGATGAGAGTCTGGCCTACCCTGATTTTCGCCACCCATGTTCTTTTACAAACTGCACCCCCACTAGGAATGGCCCTGCTCCATACACCCATGTCTCATCACTTGTTGTAATGTTTTTGAGCAAGTTGTCACCCACATTTGCATCCGCATGTAATTCTTGACAGATTTCAAATAAATTCTGCTTCTGGTCATCTGTCAACAAATGCAGCACGAATTTTGTACAAACATGATACATTGCAATTTTTAGTCATTATTTGATGGCAAGATCGTACACTTATGCCAACTCCTTCAGCAACCTCACAGACAGTTAAATGACAATTTTGATGAATTACAATGCACACACTCTGAACATGTTTAGTTGTCTATTGAGTGGAAAGTCATTTACTCCTTTGATCTTTGGCAACTGAACATTGGCTTTCCTTAAAACACTGAAACTGTTCATAGCACTGTGTTTGGCTCGTGCAGTTATCCTTGTATGCTTGGTTAAACATTCAAAATGTTTTTTGTAGTTTTATGCAAAATCTCGCAGACCATTGTTCCTCCAACTCCTTTATTTTTGCTTTTATTTTAATCCAATCATCATCTTATGCACAACCTCACTCAGTCGTAGTTACTCAATAACACATAGATGGGAACCTAGTAAAAGACAATATGTTATCAAGATATGCTGAAAATGAAGCTGGAATATTCCATCTGCACCTGTTAGCATGCAATTTAAAAAGTTCAAATAGTTGCATTTTCATGAGAATAAACTTGCATTTTTTACCTATTTTTGTTGCATTTATGTTAATCTTCATACTTCTATAATTAATTGGTCATTGCTTACATACTCAAATATTGGATTAATAAGTTTAAAATTATTTAGTTTTGTGGTTTGGAGCAAGACAAAATTTAAAGCTTATACATGCTGTAATTTTAGCTAATATTTGTAAACTAACTAGCTAAAGTTTTTTCAATTTAAACTGTCCCCTTTTCACCCTATTTTTAAAAAATAACAAATTACATAGTTACTCATTCCTTATATTAAAATATTTCATTAGCAGTTTTTGTATTCTTAAAAAGACCATCTGCTTTATTTTGTAAAGTCATCTTCTTATGAGTAACTTTTTCATTTGATTTCATATATTTAATTTTAAGAAATATGTATGGAAAATATTAATTACATTTCTTATCTTTCTGCTATAGTTGTATTTACAGTAATTTAAGGTTAAAGTATATTTATTCAATACAGCATAATATACATATTTGACTTTGTTTCATTGCAAATTGTTTTCCTCTCTAGTGTTTCGAGCTGTTTATTTACATGAATTATGTGCTCTATATCTCATTGCAAAGCTTTCAGTTCTTTTCCACATACCTGTGGAAAATATACACGATCTCCGGTTACGCACTGGAACATCAGCCAATTATACAGTCACAGATGAAGTAAGTTTTATGAGTAATGTTTATTTATTTCAAGGCTGAATTTTGCATTTGTATTTTTTACAATTTTAGTATGTTCATATTTATTTCATTGGGTTAATTACAAATGCATTTAAAAACTTTTACATTTTTCTTGGTTATTATTTAATATTGCTGTTTTATGCCTCTGTCTGTTGTTTTCTGAGTGTGTTGAGGTTATATGCATTACATGTCTAATTGCACCGGTTGAAAGTTATATTTGATATTTTGATCTACAGCAAATAGAGTAAGTAGATCATGTATGCACTCTACATTTGAGTATGCTTTATAGTTAACTAAATTATGTCTATTTAAACTCCAGGATACATATTTTTTCTCTTTTTTTAATCATTATGTAAGTATGGACCTATCTTAAATGCTAAATTTATATTAAATTTCATAGTATTTAAAGTGGAATTTTTGCAAACTTTTTTAAGGGCTTTTATTTTTAGTGAAGACCTTTTAATTTTCAGTAAGAAATATATTTTTTTATTCAGAATTTTAAAATATTTGAAAGGTTGTAGTTTAAATTTTATTATCCTAAGATAATAAATATTAAGTGTTTAACAGAAAAATATAGATGTGACTTCAACTGCACCAGTAATAACTATGTTGTTCAAAAATTTTGTAAAATTTGTTACTGATTTTAAATTTAGATGGGTAATAGTGTATTTTTTACTTCTTTATGTTAAAGATAATGAGTATGTTCTGTAATTCTTAATTTAATACTTTGTCTCTATTTAATTCTTTTTTTTCGGGGGGGGGGTGACTTGACAAGTATTCGCTGAACATAAAATAGAATTTAAAAAAATAAGTAAAGTTTTATCAAATGCAGTATGACTAAAGAAAAGTGAAAAGATTATTTCTAAAAAATACACAGACTCAGATGAAAAGTTCAGCACTTACTCTTAACAATTTTAATTCTGTCATAACTTCTTTAAAAACCCTTAAAACTTACTTGCCTGAATATTAGTTAGTTAGAGGGAGAAGGAAAAAAAGGGGGAAGCTGGAGTCAGATTTGGTATATTTTTGTTAACTTCGGTTTCTACAACCATTTTATATGTATGCGTTAAAATTTTCTTAACCAGAGATTCTTATTTTTTGGTGTATGGTTCTAGTTTTGAAATTTGTGTGTGTATTAATGAATGTTTGAAAGCATGCATAAATTGTATTCTTTCAATAAATTCTTAACTTCTTATTTTGATTATTTCTGTCTTTTATAGGTTGTTGCTAATATGAAAGATAATTCTCTGTATATTATAGAGCCTTTATTATATGGTAAGTTTCTAGTGAAATATATAGTAGATGTACAGTTTATGATTTCTCAAATTCCTTTATATGTATGGCCTTTAGTTATGTGATGTACTTTACCAATAAAAATTAGAGAATGATTAATTATTTGAAATTTTAAATCTGTTATTTTATGCCTCATATTATCTAACATTTGCTATTAGTAAATAATATTATGCTTTCTTCAGACATATCAAAATTTTATTCTGTGTACTTTTTTTTTTTTTTTTTTTTTTGTGTGTGTGTGTGTGTGTTTTTAGTATTATTCTTTGGATTATATAATTTCATACATGAGAGCTAGATTAAAAATGCCATTCGTATTTTAATAAATTTTGCATATTTTTAAATGAAGTTAGAAATTGTTCAGATATGTATGTTAAATCAAATTTCCTTTGCAACCAAATTTTGATATGTGTACAAAAAAATTTATTTTTGTAGTTTTTCTATTTCTTCCATTCCATTTATAATCATAAGTACATCTAATTTTTACATTTTAATTCTCATTTTATGCAGGATTTGTAATTCTAATAATAGTGTTCAATAATTTTTTTGAAACTTGATTCAAAATATAATAAAATTCCAACTAATAAGGTAACTAAAGCATCATTCAAGTGAATTTTTTCATAAAATAACAGAATAAAAATTTTAATTCGTATTAAAACAATGCTTATGCAGGTGAAACATAATTTAGATTCACCCATTTCTATCTCTTGTTGCAATATTTGTCTTGCTAATAAGCTGTTATAAAATATTCTGCGGCATCCATAATCCATGAAAATATTCTCTTGACATTATGATTTTTATAAGATTTAAATTTTCTATTCTTTTTATATAAAGTTATAAATTAAACTGTCAAGATGTGAATAGGACATGAGTGTAGCATAATATACTATGAGTAAATACAAAGAGTATAAAACATGAGGATAATGTATACTCAGCATTTTATTGGAAGCTATTGTACAGTGCATATCAATGAATTATGTAGAGTTGCTTGCTGCAGTATCATATGTTCAACAGATAATTCTAGACAGCAACTGAAGGACTACTTGAGGTCAAATCGTAATAAAATTGGAAAAGATTGAAGGACTAAAGAAATCTGGGATTGCACAGAGCATCATGTTACAAGCTTGGGTAGAATTTTCGAATCATAAAAACTGTATATAGGTTTAGTACTTACTGTCGTGAAGTAACCATGGTAAGAAAGTTCTATCCTACAGGTAAGAAGAGATTGATGGTAGCCAGTTGGTGAAATCACAAGGCACATGCAAACACTCAATATTGCATTTTACCGTCGTGGCTCATACTGCACATAGCGGGCTTGTTCGCTCAGAAACCAGTGTGGTGTTTTTTATTTTTGCTTTTCCATCAGAGATTACACATTGGGTAGCTAAGTGATAGAGTTGAACATCTTTACAGATAAGAGTCAGTTGCAGTGTGAAATGCATAAACATATAAAGAGAGTAGGAAACTGACAATCACCTAACACACTGACTGTTCAAAGATACTGATTTGAAAGTAACTGATTTCTTGTTTTAGGAAATCAGTAATTATACCATATAGAACTCTACATCTTTCGAAATTCATTCATTTGTGTCAACGCTGTACTACAGCTCTCATTCATCTCATTAATTTCTGTAATACTGTGGGCCTTGAGTTCCACTTTATGGACAACAACAACTTATTTCATTACACAGGAGTTGTCACTGAGATGTTAAAGGAGGAAAGATGTTCCCTGTAATCCTCAAATTTAAATTTAATGAACACATGTGGGGTATTATCAAGAGACTCTTGGCAACATGTCACCACCACCAGTAATAATCCTACAGCTAATGGCCACTACAGAGGCTGTTTGAACATTTTTTGGATGATTTTGTTTTGCAAAAAAAAATTGTCTGCTTGGAAATTTTTTTTAACTGCAGCTATATTTTTCAGCAAAGTGTAAATTATCGCCTGCTATTTGACAATTTGCTTTACTATAAAATGGCACTTTTAAAGAAAAAATTGATGAAAGGCTATGTGTGTGCTGTTTTCAAAGAAAAATTTTCCTATCATGTTATTAAAAAAAGGCTATGAAACCTATGATTTTTTTATATCTAAAGCTATGATAAGTAGTATTGTTAACAAGAAAAAAAAAAAGGTTTAGCTTAAGGGAAGAAAATTCTTCCAAACACATATCCAAAGGAAAAGTAGAATGTTTTGAATGTTGCAAAGGTGAGATCTGTAATTTGAATAGAAAATCTGCCAAATCAGAGGATAGTTTCAAAATCATAAAAATGTTCAGTGTCAACTATAAACAAAGTCATTAATACTAATTTGAATCTTGAAAAGGCAAAACAACAGAATGTGTATTGTCTTTTTACATGACATACCACTGAACACTGGACATGCTGTAGAATCCTTTATGTGAAACATATATCCAAACAGAAATGGAAAAATGTTGTCACAGTAAATGAATCTTGGTGTTTATTAATGACTACAATAGAAAGAGATCCATTTATTATCATCAAAGAGGAGGAACTGCCATACTATGTTTGGGAAACCCTTTTTTGAATAATGGTCCTTTGTGTTATTTGTGTTTCTGTCTTGGCCATTGCTCTTCATTTTTCCCATTGTCTGACATTTCAGTGATGTAGTGGTTATACTTTATGCCAATTTGAAATGTTGTATGGCGCTATCGTCAGAAATCCATTCCTCACACACATGCAATCAATCATGTGTTACTGATTATTTTAAAATGAATAAAAAATTGCTAAGCCAAGCATGTTGCGTGCTGTTAAAATTGTATCTGTTGAAAAAACTTTTCATTGATTTCTATTTAAATTTCATTAATTCCTGTCATTCTGAAAGAAAGGCTTATATTTTAAAAATCACTGTAGTTTTAACATTTTTACGTATT